TAACCCCAGGGTACTCCAAGGTCCGGCAAAACACCTCCGAGGTCCCTTCAGGGTTCCAAGACAAGCCTCCAAGGTCTTAACACTCGAGACTGTGGAACCTCTAAAGTTATTTTAACACCTCCGAGGTCTATTCAGGTTTTATCTCGAGACTCTGGGACCTTGATGTTTAACTAAAACCCCTCTAAGGTCCCAGCGAATGAGAGTAAGGACTTTAGAGGTCCCCTCCAAGGTTCAGTAGGATGAGACTAGCAACTTTAAAGGCTAAATCAAACCCCTCCAAGGTCTTGGAGGATGAGACTACTGACAATAGAGGACCCCTCCAAGGTCTCACTGGCTCAGACAATAAACCTCGGAAGACCCCTCCAAGGTCGATAGGGCTCAGACTAATCACCCCAAAGGCTATTTCTATCCCCTCTAAGGTTCTGGTGGCTGAGAATACTGACCTCAGAGGTCCCCTCCAAGGTCCAGGTGGCTGAGACTACTGACCTCAGAAGTTCCCTCCAAGGTCAAAGTGGCTGAGACAACTGACCTCAGAGGACCCCTCCAAGGTCAATGTGGCTGAGACTACTGACCTCAGAAGGCCCCTCCAAGGTCCTGTTGGCTCAGACTACTGACCTCAGAGGTCCCCTCCAAGGTCCTGCAGGCTGAGACAACTGACTTCAGAGGTCCCCTCCGAGGTCCTAGTGGCTGAGACTGCTGACCTCAGAGGACCCCTCATAGGTCTTGGTGGCTGAGACTACTGACCTCAGAGGACCCTTCCAAGGTTGTAGTGGCTGAGACTACTGACCTCAGAGGTCCCCTCTAAGGTCCCGGGGGCTGAGACTACTGACCTCAGAAGGCCCCTCCAAGGTCATTGTGGCTGAGACTTCTGACCTCAGATGTCCCCTCCAAGGTCCAGCCGGCTGAGACAACTGACCTCAAAGGTCCCCTCCAAGGTCCTAATGGCTGTGACTACTGACCTCAGAGGACCCCTCCAAGGTCCAGCAGGCTGAGACAACTGACCTAAGAGGTCCCATCCAAGGTCCTTGTGGCTGAGACTACTGACCTCAGAGGTCCCCTCTAAGGTCCCGGGGGCTGAGACTACTGACCTCAGAGGGCCCCTCCAAGGTCCTTGTGTCTGAGACTTCTGACCTCAGAGGTCCCCTCCAAGGTCCAGCAGGCTGAGACAACTGACCTCAAAGGTCCCCTCCAAGGTCCTAGTGGCTGAGACTACTGACCTCAGAGGACCCCTCCAAGGTCCAGCAGGCTGAGACAACTGACCTAAGAGGTCCCATCCAAGGTCCTGGTGGCTGAGACTTCTGACCTCAGAGGTCCCCTCTAAGGTCCATCAGGCTGAGACAACTGACCTCAAACGTCCCCTCCAAGGTCATAGTGGCTGAGACTACTGACCTCAGAGGACCCCTCCAAGGTCCTGGTGGCTGAGACTACTGATCTCAGAGGTCCCATCCAAGGTCCAGCAGGCTGAGACAACTGACCTCAAACGTCCCCTCCAAGGTCCTAGTGTCTGAGACTACTGACCTCAGAGGACCCCTCATAGGTCTTGCTGGCTGAGACTACTGACCTCAAAGGACCCTTCCAAGGTCCTGGTGGCTGACACTACTGACCTCAGAGGTCCCATCCAAGGTCCCGGGGGCTGAGACTACAGACCTCAAAAGACCCCTCTATAGTCCTTTGTTACACTGTTGCATTGCTGCAGAGTTGCTTTGTAGCATTTTTCCACTGTAGCATTGTTGCACTGCTGCATTATCAGTTCATTGTAGCATTGTTGCACTGTTGCACTGTTGCATTTTAGCACTGCTGCATTATAGCACTGTTGCACTGTTCACTGTAGCATTGTTGCACTGTTGCACTGTTGCACTATAACATTGTTGCACTGTTGCACTGTTACATTGTTGCAATGTTGCACTGTAGCATTATTGCAGCGTTGTATTGCTGCACTGTTGCATTATAGCACTGCTGCACTTTGGCACTGTTGCATTGTTGCACGGTTGCATTGCTGCAGAGTTGCATTGTCGCATTTTTCCACTGTAGCATTGTTGCACTGCTGCATTATAGCACTGTTGCACTTTTCATTGCATCATTGTTGCAGTGTCGCACTGTAGCATTGTTGCACTGTTGCAATGTAGCATTGTTGCACTTTTGCATTGCTGCAGAGTTGCATTGTAGCATTGTTGCACTGTTGCATTGCTGAACTGTTGCACTGCTGCATGATAGCACTGTTGCACTGTTCACTGTAGTATTGTTGCACTGTTACACTGTTGCACTGTAGCATTGTTGCATTACTGCACTGTTGAATTATAGCACTGCTGCACTTTAGCACTGTTGCATTGTTGCACTGTTGCATTGCTGCAGAGTTGCATTGTCTCATTTTTGCACTGTTGCAGTGTAGCACTGCTGCATTATAGCACTGTTGCAGTGTTCACTGTAGCATTGTTGCACTGTTCCACTGTAGCATTGTTGCACTGTTGCAATGTAGCATTGTTGCACTTTTGCATTGCTGCAGAGTTGCATTGTAGTAATGTCGCACTGTTGCATTGCTGGACTGTTGCACTGCTGCTTGATAGCACTGTTGCACTGTTCATTGTAGCATTGTTGCACTGTTACACTGTTGCACTGTAGCATTGTTGCATTGCTGCACTGTTGCATTATAGCACTGCTGCACTTCAGCACTGTTGCATTGTTGCACTCTTGCATTGCTGCAGAGTTGCATTGTCACATATTTGCACTGTATCATTGCACTGCTGCATTATTGCACTGTTGCACTGTTCATTGTGGCATTGTTGCACCATTGCACTTTTGCACTGTAGCACTGCTGCATTATAGCACTGGTACACTGTTCTCTGTAGCATTGTTGCACTGTTGCACTGTAGCATTGTTGCACTGTTGCACTTTAACATTGTTGCCCAGTTTCAATGTAGCATTGTTGCACTGTTGCATTGCTGCAGAGTTGCACTGTAGCATTGTTGCACTGTTGCATCGCTGCACTGTTGCCCTGCTGCATGATAGCACTGTTGTACAGTTCACTGTAGCATTTTTGCACTGTTGCACTGTTGCACTGTAGCATTGATGCACTGCTACATTATAGCACTGTTGCACTGTTGCACTTTAACATTGTTGCCCTCTTGCAATGTAGCATTGTTGCACTGTTGCATTGCTGCAGAGTTGCACTATAGCATTGTTGCACTATTGCATTGCTGCACTGTTGCACTGCTGCATGAAAGCACTGTTGCACTGTTCACTGTAGCATTTTTGCACTGTTGCACTGTTGCACTGTAGCATTGATGCACTGCTGCATTATAGCACTGTTGCACTGATCACTGTAGCATTGTCGCACTGTTGCACTGTTGCACTGTAACAATGTTGCAATGTTGCACTGTAGCATTGTTGCACTGTTGCATTGCTGCCCTGTTGCATTGTAGCATTGTTGCACTGTTGCATTGTAGCACTGCTGCACCTTAGCACTGTTGCACTTTTGCACTCTTGCAATGCTGCAAAGTTGCATTGTAGTTTTGTTGCACTGTTGCACTGTAGCAATGTTGCACTGCTGCATTATAGAACTGTTGCACTGTTCACTGTAGCATTGTTGCACTGTTGCACAGTTGCATTTTAACATTGCTACACTGCTGCATTGTAGCATTGTTGCATCGTTGCATTGCTGCACTGTTGCATTGTAGCATTGTTGCAATGTTGCATTGTAGCTCCGTTGCACTGTAGCATTGTTGCACTTTTGCACTGTAACATTGTTGCACTGTTGCACTGTAGCATTGTTGCACGGTTGCATTGCTGCACTTTTGCATTGTTGCATTGTTTCACTGTTGCATTGTAGCACTGCTGCACTTTAGCACTGTTGCTTTGCTGCACTTTTGCATTACTGCTGATTTGCATTGTAGCATTTTTGCACAGTAGCATTGTTGCACTGCTGCATTATAGCACTGTTGCACTGTTCATTGTAGCACTGTTGCACTGTTGCACTGTTGCACTGTAGCACTGCTGCATTATGGCACTGTAACACTGTTCACTGTAGCATTGTTGCACTGTTGCACAGTTGCCCTGTAGCATTGTTACACTTTTGCATTGCTACACTGTTGCGATATAGCATTTCTGCACTGTTGCATTTTAGCTCTGCTGCACTTTAGCTCTGTTGCTTTGTTGCACTCTTGCATTGCAGCAGATTTGCATTGTAGCACTGCTGCACTGTAGCATTGTAGCACTGCTTCATTATAGCACTGTTACACTGTTCACTGTAGCATTGTTGCACTATTGCACTGTTGCACTGTAGCATTGTTGCACTGATGCACTGTAACATTGTTGCACTGTTGCACTGTAGCTTTGTTGCACTGTTGCGTGGCACTGCTGCACTTTAGCACTGTTGTTTTGTTGCACTGTTGCATTGCTGCAGCGTTGCATTGTAGCATTTTTGCACTATAGTACTGTTGCACTGCTACATTATAGCACTGTTGCACTGTTCATTGTAGCATTGCTGCACTGTTGCACTGTAGCACTGCTGCATTATAGCACTGTTGCACTGTTCATTGTAGCATTGCTGCACTGTTGCACTGTAGCACTGCTGCATTATAGCACTGTTACACTGTTCACTGTAGCATTGTTGCACTGTTGCACTGTTGCACTCTAGCATTGTTGCACTGTTGCACTGTAACATTGTTGCACTGTTGCACTGTAGCATTGTTGCACATAAGAACATGTATATGTATCAAGAAAAGTTATTAAAATGGAGAATTCTCTTCTAGTCATTTTTGGCTAAATTTATCCAATTACCCTGTACTATAATACAGGGACTTTGACTCAATTTTGGAGCAAATTTAAAAATTTTTTTTAAATCAAATTTTGATGGGAATCAGCACAAACTAGCTACACGACATAAGATAGTGTATATGCATCTGGAAATATTTTTTAAATGGAGAATTATCTTTTTGTCATTTTGGTTAAATTTGGACAATTACCTTTACTATGCCTTGGCCCATTGATTTCTTTTCATTTCATTTGATTAAAGAAACAAACTTTTTAAGCAGTAAATGATAGTTCATGTAACTTTGTTCATATTATTTCTGAATTTGTCTTAATTTATCAAGTATGTTCTTAAAAGTCCTGTCTTTCAAAATTTCATTCTCCTTGAACTCTTCTTTTACTTCATGTAATCTTGTAAACTTGCCCTTCTTTCTCTCCATTACCCTTTCAATTTCTCTTGTCTCTGCCATCGTCCACTTTCGTTTCCTCCTTACTTCACGTTCTCTGTCTTCACATTCTTCAATTTTCTGTTCTTTTTTTGTATGTTGGCTATGTCGCCAGTCTTGCAGTGTTTTGTAGGCACCAATGGCCTCTTTTGCCGTGTTGACAAAGGTATATTTTGCCCTATGGGTGTCTATGGAATGATCCATCATTTGGGAAATCTTTAATGTCATTTTTTCGTCCCTTCCTAGTTCCACTCTAGATGCACTCTGTTTCCGGTGCTCCGTTGGAGATATCTTGATGGCCTGGTGTCCCATTTGGATGCACAAATTTTCTAGTTCCCTAAAGGGATTTGCCACTTGATGTCCTGTTCTGGTCACAAAGAGGTATTTGCTCTCCGGAGCATATTCCAGATATCTACATATAAATGTGTTTATACATTTTAAAACTTAACACTTACTTCTCTATGACCTCTACTGTTTCCTTTTTGCAAACAACTTTTGCAGAACCATAACGATCCTTGGTTTTATGGTTTTTTACTAAAATAACATCATGCTCTTCTGATTTTATCCTGTTTCTATATTCCTCCATTTCAATGTTCTTTACTGTTCCAGAACGCTGGTAATTGCCGTACATCAGCCTAACTCAATGCAAATTATGTAACTAAAGTTTGGTCTAACTCTGTTACCTACCTACACATAGCCACTCTTCTTAACAGAATCGCTTCCTCCTCATCTATTACCTCATGACTTAAAACTTCTTTCAGTCTTTCCTCCACCTTTTCTCCTTCCAAAAACTCCAACACTTTATCATCATACTCTACACCTTCTCCTAGCCTCATGTCTCGCTTCTCTCTTTCCAGTCTCTTTCTCTCCTTGTTGCAATTCTTAATTATCTTTTTCAGTTTGTCACTGACCTTGCACAATCTTTTGATGGTAGAATGACCATTAAACTCATATTACTAAGGCAATTGCTTACTTAAAATAATCGTGATCCACCTGTTCTTCTTCCTTTAAATAGTCCAAAAGGTGCTGAATCGAATTGGCCTTGCCAACTAACCCCGATGGGCCTAACCCAACATCTTCTGCAATGTGGTCCATAAATCCAACCACATTTTCCACTTTGCAACATTCTTTTAAGCAAAGTGTGTCACCAAATGACAT